AGAGCTTCTTCGCATAATATATGATCAAGCAACAATAACCTCTAAAAGTTTTCCTTGTCATACACAGGCGGCGGAGAGAACTGTGAAAATAATTACAGATGCTTCTTCTTCAACAGTAGGTATGTGGACTAAAAGCACGTGATGGTTAAATAAGGGCAAAACTAAAAGCAAGACAAGAAGTACCTAGTTTCGAAAATAAAAGTGAGTATTATAAAGCAAAAGCAAAATAAAACAAATTGAGAAAGTAAAGGGAGGGAGGGTGGGTGGAACTCCAGGTGCGACCATCTCCTCGTGGTGAGTTTTGGGCTAATTTGATATTCAAGCATAAGTAGTATTAAAATACATATTAGGTACAAATGTTTTAACAACAATAAATATTTATTAGACGTAATTTACATAGTTTGAATATTAATCTAGGCGAAGAGTTGCACAACATTAACTTTCTAGCCGATGGGGCGCGGCTAAAACTTAAAATTTTAAGCTCGGTTTTTTTTTACGCATTAAGAAGATCATAAATAACTAATTTTAACCTACCCCGAATAAAAAAATAAAATAAAATTTAAAATGCATTTTCAAGACCCCTGGGGCGCGGCTAAATATTGTAAAAAAAATTCAATTTTTTATATGCTGTTTAAAGTATACCTAAGACATCTTTTTTTCAGTACCCCTCCAAGAAAAACAAGAAAAATTTTTTTTTAGTTTTTTTCGGCCCACCCTAGTGACCACTTCTGCATACTTTATTGATTAAAAAACAGATAGTTAACGTCGCGTCCTGTATTTTACGGATAGTAGACAATGATGCTACATAAAAAGTACATGTTTTATATTATTGATGAATTGTTGGAAAAGATCTAGCGATTCAATTTTATCACATGTAGGTAGTACCTTTCTATTTTATATTTCTATCTAACGGTATTATAAGTAAGTCCCATATGTGCATCTGAAATAAACATCTGGTTAGGAAAATAATCTTTATTTTAAATATTTCTATATATTTTTCAGAAACAGAGAGCTTACGTAGCCTTCTTTTATCTGGTTACGATAAATTGAGCAAATATTCAGAAACAAACCGCCTACCATCTACTACTGAATTGTATGAATAAAAGATAATGTTTGTTTTACAGAAATCCGTAGTGTTCCCGTAACAATTGTGATGTCTTCCATATCGCACATCCTGGTCATATCTAGATTGTTATTTCACAAACACGTACTAACTAATATGTAAACTGCTTGTTCCAATTTCTGGGAAAAGTAATCTACTATACAGGATGCGATAAAAACTATACTGGTTTTAAATAATAAACAAAAATATGTTTTCTGATATAATATGTTATATTTTCGTTTAATATGCTTACCTACAAACAGTGAAGAGTACATTTAATTATAATTTTTTTTGCTTGGCTTATAAAACTATTCTTTTAACAGTATAAAGTTATCTTAAGAAAATAATTACAATGTTTTAATATATAATTTTTTTTGCTTGGCTTATAAAACTATTCTTTTAACAGTATAAAGTTATCTTAAGAAAATAATTACAATGTTTTAATATATAATTTTTTTTGCTTGGCTTATAAAACTATTCTTTTAACAGTATAAAGTTATCTTAAGAAAATAATTAAAATGTTTTAATAGATTTTTTCTAACCCTGTTATCACTGCAATATAAATAACTTTGTGTTATTCCGAAAAGAAAAAAATTAAATGATGACATAAAAATATTGCTAACAATTTTTTTTAGCTTAGTTAAACTGATAAATACTTACAATTTTAATCTCTTCTAAAAATAATATTATAGTTTGGCAGTAACTTATAAAATATGTTAAATAGTTTTTCCATGAATTTAGGGTAAAATGGTTTTAATCAGAAATTGTCTTTTTCAGGTGTTGACAATATGTTAAATGTAACCCTAAATTTTTATTTCTTTTTGTTAATATATCTTTCTTGTCACATCTTTAGACTTTATTTACAAAATATTTTCCGTTTGAATCCAACAAAGCAAAGTAAAATGTAAAAATAATACTTCTATAACAATTAAGAAACCTAAAGAGATTAATGAATTATCATGCTTAGAATGATAGTATTCTAGGACGTATATTTCTAAGATTTTTGTAATCAAACAAAAAAATCATAATTACGGATTTATAAACATTTTACTATTTTAATTTTTTATTTTTGAAATCAATGTTGATGAACAATATAAATTATTTTATTAAAAATATAATTAAATACAAATTATAACTGCAATACTAGACAAAGAAGATTTTTATATTATCTACAGAAAATCACCAGCAGCTATGGCTCTCAATTTTAATAAGGAGCAATATTGTATACTCGAAGATTAAAGTCGCGAATGCATCTGAAATCTTAAAGCCTTGTTTAGAGTAGGAGGGTCGCGCGTCGCGATGCGATAGCGTTGTGTCGAGCGACGCGTCGTCGGTTAAACACATAGCAAACGTTCAGAATGAAGCCTTGTTCAAAGAAGAAGCGTTGCGCGTCGCGGTGTGATAGCGTTGCGACGAGCGACGCGATTTATATTTCAGATATCGCATGGCTGCACAGAGATGTATTTAATCTAAAAAAGCGATCAAAATTATTTTATTTGACATATAAGTCCTAAATAGCGATATTTATAATAAATTTAACTTCTTAGGCAATATATTTTGGAAAATAGCAAAGAGAGATCAGTGAAAAAGCAATCGTTTCAGAAAAATCAATAAAAAAGATAGATTCATTTTATAAAAAGTATATTTATCCTAAATAGCTTAAAGTTATTCAGATGATGAGTCCCAAACTTCTTCATTAAAGGAATCATTTGTTTCATCCAACAAATCTATCACAATTTTGTCATTATTGTTCGGGGCTTCAAATTCAATTGGTGTTTATTTGTCTCTTCAGCTGATTCTCCTAACAATGTTCCAAAAGGTAACAGGGCATGCTGAACTACAAGAGGGTCGCGGCATAGTATTTTGTGTACTGTGGGAGACATAGGATGCCAGGAGCACAACTCAGTACATATTATTGCTCTATCATGGCAACATTTATCTTATGCCAACTGGACATCACTTCTGATATACTAGCAAATATTTCGATTAACCTGAGATCAATCCTAGTGATTTCAGAAGACACGGAGAACTCCGCCATTGGAGCTGCCGTAGTCAGCTTTGGAAAGATCAACAATGAGACCAAGCTGAGTTTGGAATTTTTCTTGAATCTATTTTTTTTTTTCTTTGAATGATATTTAGCATCTCTGGTAGGAGTTTTGGTAATATCCTTGACGACTTTTACAGCCTCCTGATTACCAGTCTAAGATTCATTTGAATAGCATATACGAGCTCATTAATTTTACTCTCATCTTTAGGAATTTGAAGTTTGCGCCTTTTACTAAGGTCAAAGAAGTCATCGAGTGTCTTTGTTGGACGACCCGGTTTACTTATACATTTGGCAGATATTTCCACGGTCCTTTGAAACCTATCGGTGCTTTTTTTAAAGAAAACCTTTTCTGTTCTGTTGGCAGCAGGCCACCTACTCTTCATTTTCGACTTAATATAAGAAAATTTTCGCAATAACTCTTTTTTTCTTTAGGTGGAAAAGTAGGTTTGTTAATTATCTCATTCTCCAAAAAACCCAACTTTTTATCAAATTATCTTTCTGTTCTTTTATTCGATATATTAAAAAGAAATTAAAGATAGTGACTTCGTCAATAAAAAAAATAAAATAAGTACAATAGGTAAAATTCGGCATTCGACATTTAGTTAGCTTAAGAGTATATTAGTTACTTTAGCACGAAGAAAAAAAATTAGGCCGGAAAACTCTTTGAACTATAACAAAAACTCTAATATATTATATTTATTGTGAAATATTTCATAAGTATGTTACACGGTTACAAAAATTATAATATTTATTCAATTTTACGCATTACTTTGAAATAACAAAGTTACATGGATAAAAATTACCACTCTTAAATTCACAGCTTGTTTAAAAAGAGAACTGATTACGGGTTTTTTAAAGCGCTAACTTATGATTTTTACGTGATCGTTGCAAGAAACCAAGATAATGATATAACTATGACTTACGACAAACCAGTTGAAACAAATGGGCTGCTGATTTTTGTTCTCTATGCATCTAAGTATCCATTGGCGTGAACGGTTTTTTTACTTCTTTTCTCACGATTTCACGACTTTTGTCCGATTTTTAGATTCAAATACCCCTATGTGCGCTGGTCGCTGTCTCTCTGAACGTTTGCGTTTGGTAACACTAGGTTGTTTTACCGACGACGCCGACGCACAGAGGAGTATTTGAACCAAAAACCTGGCCAAAATTATATAATGTAATTTATCATGTGGAGATGCATAAATAAATAATTTAAAGTATTATTCAATTTAATAAAATAAGTAAAACAAGATTATTATAATAAAAAATTTTAATTCAAAATCTTATTCGTCGTTTTTATCTCCCTCTTTTTCATCGCTGCTTTCGGTTCCGACACATTGAGTTTCAGGGAGCAGAAGACTTATTGTTTCAAATGTATAGCCTGCAAACTTTTCCACGTCAATCATATGACTTCTTGAAATCTTTTCCAAAATCACTTTAAACCTGTAGGTCAAATTTTTGTCTATTCCGGTAATTCGAGAAGCTGTTTCTGGATCGGCAAAAAATCTTCTAGATGTATTACCGTCATTAATGTTCCCGAATCCTGCCTTTGGAATGTCCACTAAAAGGCCCATTTCATCTCTAAATGCTTTTTGAATTTGTTCTTTTCTTTTTTTCGTTATTTCTCTTTCTTCAGGCAATCTTAGTTGCCATTTTTTAATAGATAACTTGTACGAGATATATAATAACGATTCAAATAATCTAATTCTAGCAAGAAGAATTGATAAACTGAATCTAAGAGTTTCAGGATTGACTTCCTTCCTTCTGCTCAAACAGTTAAAGTCTTTCGAGGTTAGCCCGCAAATATAGCACCTCATAGTAGAAGTTGTATTGGTCGCTGCATTGCAAATCTTAGCGTCCACCATTGTTGGTAGCAGGATATGTGTAATTAATATAAAGTATGCCGGTAGCAGTCAGTATTTCTGTTTCTGTTAAATTCCTTGCCTGGCTCTCTACATATGCAATTTCATTGTTTGTTACATCTTTAGTTTCGTGAATAAAACGTATCCTTATGGGTCTGCAGTATCTTGGAGATGATGGCACTGGATTCTGCCATATAGTCTTTTTCTGTCCATTATTGTTTGTTTGCAGTCGTATCGAAACAAGGGAACTTTGGAAAATATTTGAGTCACTTTCTGTATTATTTTCAAAGTTTTGCTTGAATTGGGATTGCTGGGATCCGTCACAGCCCCATTTTGTAAGAAGTTCCATGATCTTCTTTTCTTCTTCTGTGCAGGTTTCTATAATTTCTTCTAAATATTTACACAATCTTAAAGAAGTATGGTTGAGTAAATCTTGCAAGATAATTTCAGCCCATGTTTCAGTGACTCTTATTGATTGCTCCTTCGGATAACATTCTTTTTTTGCATTATTTATTAGTGAATAGCAAGAATAAATACTTTTATTTGCGTTGTGTAGTATTTCCCGTTGCCTCCGAGTAAAATCTCCCTCCACAAAAATAGCCAAGGCCTCAGATGGTGTGTGCTTTTTAATTTTATTTTTATTAACCGAAGAGAACGCTTTTCGGAGTTTTGTAGCTCTTGTCGGTGTTAAAGTTATTTCTTTTATGATTTTTGACACGTCTTTATTTCCTTCAGCACATTACACATTTGTGCGGCATATGTTAACTGTTCCGCAGATACACGTTCTCTCAAATCTTTTGTTTTTCTTCGCTTACTTATGTCACTTGATTCTACGAATTCTTTTGTTGGTCGATTAGATTTTTCTGTATTCCAAATGACAAATTTAATTGAATTTTTAAAAAACCGTTCTTGCTTATAATTTGCCAATCGCCATTTTTGCTTAAAGTCAGACTTGAAATAACTTAAAGTATGTTTCAATATGCCAAGTTTACTATCCGGACATTTGGTCAGCTCTATATTCTTTTTCTCCAAAAATAAAATCTTTTCATCTATCTTTTTACTTGGACATTCTTGCATTATATCATATAATGACTTTTTAGTAATTTCCTTTAACATTCTAGAAGATCCTGAGAAGATAAAAGACAATATTTAAAATCAAAAATAAATATCATTGCGTTTAAACCTATGACAAACAAAATGGCGGAAGAAAGCGGAACTTTTTCTCTTACTATCATTCTAAGAAAACACTAAACTTTATATTAAAGGAGAAATAACTCGGAAGTCCCCGGAATACTTACAAAAATACTTATGTTTAAAATTTTTATCAAAAAAAAAACTTGTTTGTTTTTTTAAATAATAAAAAAAAATATTTCTTTAAATACCAGTTAAATTATACATGCTTCATATTAAAGTACATACCTTCATCATCCATCTCTATAACGATTATTTTTTAACTACACCAAGAATCAACTATAATAATACTAATGTAACTTATATAAAAATCAAGTTATCAAGAACAAAGCAGTGCGAATTAAACGACGACTGAGTTTCGACTACCCGTGTTCGTAAGAAAGAAAGGCGGGAGCTGCGAATGATCGAGATATGACATATTTGTTATTCGGATGTAAGAAAGAGGGCGGTTGGAGTAATGTTTACCATAGTTTACGTTTTCGACTTTTGGCCAAATTTTTAGTGCAAATACTCGTCTGTGCGACGCGACGCTCTTACACTGAACAAGGCTTGGCACCAGCGTTGCGATGCTCTAAAATATTAATCACCTCGCTCGACGCAACGCTATCGCATCGCGACGCGTGCCGCTCCTACTCTGAACAAGGCTTAAGACTTATAGTCAAACATTATTGTTCACAATTTTAAGAAATCAGAAGAAATATTTAAATACGAATTTTAGTATACACTTTTACTTATAGATCGATATTTATTTTAAAGATAAGTAACTGAAGTCGTACAATAACACGACAAAAACTGCCTAAAACAATTAAAAATTTACAAATGTATATACTGCAAAATACTGAATTCTAGCTTAAACGATTGCTTCAGTTAAAAGTTAGGAGATACGTTTTGGTAAAAATTAAAGTAAAAATTAAATACTATAATATCTATATATAAATATTCAAAAACAAAATGGTTCATTACCATTTTCTCTTCTGTTTGTGAACCGATTTCCTTTTTTTAAATTTTGTTTAGTAGCTATTGACGGGCTTTAGTGTTATAAATATTGGCAATAGTTTGTTTCCCAACCTTCGATATATAAAATCCATTGATCTACAATTATGAATTATGATTGATTAATAAAATTAGCCTAGAGCGAACATGAGCACATTTAATTTCAATCCAACATGGACAATATTACATGAACGGATAGAGGATCGTGAAAAATTAAAAAAAAATGACTTCTTCCCCAATCCTTCAACCCTCCCCTCTTTTCCTCTACCTCGCCTAATAGCAAGGACGTGGGCCCCATCTGAAATGATTTCAAACTGCCCAACTTCCACCCCTCTACTTCTCTGCTCACCCCAGGGGAGGTCAATAGTTAGAACCTCTAGACTTAAAAAATTAACTTCGGGTACGATGGATTGGACTTTAAGACAAAAAAATGTCACTCTTTCTCACCCCCTTTTACCCCATCTCACCCCCTATCCCTTCCATATAAAAAAACATTGAAACAACATTTTTTTTCGAAATTAGACCCGAAAGTCGCACACCTTTGGGTTCTACAGATTTTCAATCTACCTTCTCCTCTACTCCCTCCACCCACGGTTGTATAGAGGACCAAAATGTAAGATGTAATCCGATTTCCCCTCCCACAAAAAGTTTACAATTGATTTTACAACGGATATTAATAATTGGAACTGTATTATATTGTCTGTACGTTCTTTGGGAGGGACCATTATGATCCCTCGAAGGACTAGTCAATTCGCCACCGAAATATCAAGAAGAAGAAAGTGTTCATTAGTCAAAATCGGTTTAGCAAAAATCTGTGAAAAATGTGATTCATATCAATAAATAAGGATTTTAAATTTGGGAGTTACTGTAATTTTATTGATTTTTTTTTTATTTAATTATAATGGTACTGAATTATATTGTATTGTAGGTACATATAACAGTTTATGGTCTCTGATATACAATGAACAAATGTATAAGAATAAAAAAAATCGCCTATCTGGGTCATCTTCATTCAATTCTTGTTGTAATTACATTTTATAGGAATAAAATTTATTGAATTTCAGAATTCTCTTTACAGATCTCTCGCTCATATTATTGTCTAACGCAAGCTTTGGCACTGAAGTTTTTGATTCTTCCTGTACACTTTGAACCACATTAGGTACATTTTCATCAGTGGCTGTTCTCTTCCGTCAGATTCGGGGTTATGTTTCACATGTCCTGTTTCATTGAACTTGCTCAAATTTCTGGATACTGCAGATTTAGAAAACGAGGAAATCCTGTCAAGAAATGTTTCATAGAACAAACTACAAGCTTCTTGCAAAAATCTCTTTTTGTCTCCAAACTCAGTCATCAATATAGAGTGATTTATTTAAAATTTCATGCGATGACCTCATATCTTGAAAAATATGACGGATGATGAAATCCCCAAGCATCATTAAATAGTGCATAAAATATACTAAAAACATTTTTCGGGTTAATTTTCAAGACAATCCATAATTGAGCCACAAATCGGGCCACAATTTGGCCCAACCCTGTTATATGATGCAAATGAAAGGTAACAGAATCGCTATTCCGTAACTCCTGATTTCGGGAAAAAGCGGTTGTTCATTTCGATATTCCTTTTATACGTAATGTCATAATATGAGTGAGCGTAATAACTTCGACTATGATTTTATTTAATTTAAATGTGGTTTATGTAATACATCATTTAAAAGTAACACTATAACGCCATCTATACTTAGAAAGCAAAATCAAATCTCGCTGTGGTACCTACTTCATAGAACAAGGCGGAAAATAAATTCTACCTTCAACACTCTGTATCTTAGTAGTATCTAACATTTGACCTACAGTTATTGAGTAAAATATTAATATTTGAAGGTTCTGAACCTATGATTAAAATATTGACCATTCCTAATGAAACACCCTGTATTTTTTCTCTCAGCCACCTTAACACGTCTGTAAAATATTGGCAAGGGGTTTGGTGATACCCTGTATAAATTGAAACATTAATGTAATTATACAAAGTATTTTCAGTTATAGCTTATCTGATATTAAACAAATTATTTGAAGTATCATAAAAGGAATAATATTTTTTGTGTAAATACCATTGCAAAAAAATAACTTGTTAAACTTTTTTATAATAAACAAATTGTTTTTAGTTTTTTTATAGCAGGACTTTAACACTCTTTTAAAATTATTTCAAAAAGTGTAAGTAAATATTGGTTAGAAAACGCTTGGTTTATATATAAAGGGTATCAAATTAAATTCTAAAATAGAATTTTTTTTAAATATAATTTTTTTTTAAGGTATCTTTTGCATTAAAAGTCGGTATACGGGTGGTTTTTTATTTAAGAATAGTAGATTGTGCACCAAGGTAGAGAAAATATTTTCTACCGTGGTTTATTTACTGCTTTTTCCACTACTAGAACATTTAATCATTTTCACAATGATCATTTTTGGATTCCTTTTGTATTTGAAAGGATCCAATTGAAAAGATGTAGTCTGTGAAATCAAATGAATGAAAATTCAATTAGACATTCCAAACAAATGAATTATTGCCAGTGGGAAGGTTTAGTATATCTAAGGGTTGCGACATACGATGTATTCTATCTACTATACGTAAAATCATGAATAATGGATTACTTTTAAATATTTTATGTCAAACACAATAAAAAGAATATTAAAAAAACCTGCTTATACATTTCTTCATAAATTGGCAGGCTTGGCGACTACTATTTCGAATAAAAATAGCGTCCAAGGTACAAAACTATGTCGCTACCCCCTTAGATATACGAGAACATTCCACTGGCACCTATTGTTTGACAGGTCGTTGGAATGCCTAATAAATTAAATTGACATTTATTTTTCTCCCTTGTGAATTTTAAAAATGGCATGTAATGATAAATATAAATTTTTGGATGGTCATGACATGGCATGTCACTATTGTCAATTGTTTGAATTTTTCTCTTCTACAAGTAGATAATGAAAAGTTAGCTCCTACTAGGAGAAAAATTTATCTTCTCAGCTCGTATACATCGTAAATATATCTTCTAATAGTAGTAATGGAAAAAGGTTTTACTGTAACCGCAATGGGCGCTCTGAATTATAATCTTTACGGATCACAATGACTTTTCTCAGTGTACTTTGTGTGTTTTATTATAAAATATTATTTCCTTATTTCTAAACAAAATCCGAAAAAGTTGGTTGTTTTCAAGATATTTATTTATTTATTTCCCTTAAAGACTTGTTATTGTTCGATGCAACCTATAAGCAACAGCTGTTCAAACAATAGATGAACTTATTAATAGGATTAGGGATGTCTGTAATGAAATAAGAGCATTCTTAAATAACATACGTTCAGTTATTCGTATGTGTTGTGAATTACTTGTATATGTATTGAATAAAATTGTTCACATTTTTAAATTTGTTTGTTACTTATAGTTTTCTCCTTTATCCGATCGGGTTATAGTTTAAATTCATTTATTTAGTTATCTTGTTGAAAATAAATCTTTTTTAAAACGGTTTAAATTATTATCACAACAATAAATTGTTACAATTTAACAGAAGATAAATTACAAAGGATTATAACAAATCCTATGAAAATTGAAGTTGCATTAAACATAAAACTTTATCGAATTTTGAAAAAAAAAACCTTTTTTAATTTGAACTGTATCTCTAAAACTAAACGTTTGCCGACATAATATTATATTTATGTAAACGTTTCGTAATAATTTTAAAAGTTTTATCGAGTGTTAAATTCCTGCTACAAAAAACTGAAATACCCTCTATTAGTAATGTACGAAAATCAAAGAGAGCGTTTAAATCCGTGTTGCCATTTGCCAATAATTACACCTAGGAATAGTGAGAATTCACCCCATAAATGAAGAGAGAAAACCACAGACACGTGTATCTGAGTAATGATCTTTATCAGTATGATATTTGAAATTACATTTTGATTTAAAAAAATAGTAATAAAAGACCAGAACCGGCGTATGGAGAGAAATTTCCTGAATTTTTGATTTTACAGTTATCGACTCCCTCATTACAGGGTGAGTAACAAATAACGATAATTTAATTTTTCTCTTCACAGACTACAAAACAAAAAATATGCCATTGCGTTTATCTGAACGAATATATTTCTTATCCATTCTAACCACTAAGAACACTGCAAAAAAAATTAAATCCCGCTTTATCTGCAACAAACAAAATTTGTATTTTTTTCTCATTATTTATCTCAAAATTTTTACT